GATATACCATCAATCATAAATGTTAACTAAATTTCAAAAGATCACGTAATTTATCAGTTGTTTTGAAATTTTAATTCTTCACATATGTACATTGTCACCAATGAAAGACAAACAACATTAGATAGTTGTTTTAAGCATAGTTTTAAATTTTTTTATCAGTGAGACTATTATTAGGCTGTGAACTGATTATTATTGAATTTTGAATATTTCGTATGTTACCGAATTTGTTTTAAATACTTTAAGAATCAACTTTCGGTAGAATTCAAATGCCATCATCTCAAAGCATTTCAACAGATTGGAACCATATGTTTGTTTGAACTTAACATCATGCATATATGTGCAACGATGTAAGATTATAGAAATATAATAACTGGATTTAGCTGGTTCATTGGGAAATCTTATCGCATTTAAATTATCAGTATCATCAGATTGGAAGTATTTGAATTTTCCCGATGTTTCTCATTTGTACTCCTTATTTTCTCGATTGAATTCTTGAAAGAAACAAATGTTATTCACAAATGAATTTATTTTTGTTCAAATTAATTTAAAAAATATCTTTTAAAAAAATGCACTTATTAAATTGCTAAATGTAGCGCTTATTCGCACTTATTTTTCATTACAGTTTGAAAAGAAACGAATAAATATTCAAGAAAAATGAAATTACAAAATAGAAAATTAAATTGTTCTTTCTAAGTTAAGCCTAATGCTATTTATTTTTTTCCGAATTTTTGTTTACTGTATTGTTCAATTTTTACAAAAGTATTCAATTACAAATAAAGTACTGACCTAAGTTGAAAACAATCACAATATGATAGACCTTGAAAGTAAAACCTTTGCCAGAATAAATGAAATTATGTTCAAGTACATACAATAAATACTGTACAAAAAGTGTACACACCTAAATTTTTCGTTATTGAATAAATTTCTAAGTCTTTAACTAGTTTCCTTAGTAGATTAATATTGAGGAAATTTTCATTTGATGATATTTAATTTTTAAAATAAATTTATAAAAATCCTAATTTCTTTACTCAACCTTGAATAAGGTTTTTTTGTAGCCAACAAATATCATTCAATTAGACTATGCTAATGAAATTGAAATTTTGTTATCCTTTGGGATTTATCAGTGGTAATTCTTTCACATAGGATTTAAATGATTGATGGTAACTCTTTAATTTTTTGAGTTATAAACCATCTACTTCCAAAAGATGATAATTTGCGATTTGATTTTTTCAGTTAGAGTTTTGGAGATTTGTATTTTTACACATTTGAAATCATCAATCAATCATTGTTAGAACGCCATTAGAAATCTGGAAGCGCTGGAAGGCCGTTTCTTCCTGGAATGGGACTCATCAGGAGTGAACATCCACGACTTCTGGACCTCGTAGGATTCGAACCCAGAAGCTTAGATCATGCTTCAAGATTTGTAATGATGGTCTAACATTGATCGATTCATGATTTCAAAAAGCAATTCAACAATCTCCACAACCCCATAATGCATATTAGTTAAATTGTCTGTAAGGGACAAAAATGACTATTTAACATATAACTAATTATTCAATGTTTATTTAAAAAGGTAGATTTCTCAAATATTTCATGAAACTTTATTATCTATTGAAATAAACAGTCAGTGAACAATGACATTCATTTCTTTGATGAAATTTGACGACAAATAACCTGTACTATTTCTTGCTTCGAAATTCGTAAGTGGTCAAAAGTAAATTCCAGCTTCTAATGCTTATCATAGTTTGTCTGATTTGCACAAAATACTTGAAGAGAGGTATACAAATGTTTAGAATTGTATGAAGAATAATAACTACCCACCTTTTATATTTTAAGAATTTTATTCTTTTGGTTAACATAAATTGTAGAATATATATATATATATATATATATATATATATATATATATATATATATATATATATATATACATTCAGTTATTTTTGCATGACTGAATTTTCATTCGCTTTTCTTACAACTTATATATGTCAAATTAACGGACGGAATTGCATTCAAATTTAGAATTTTTCTGTTTTATAATTTGACTAACTAAATTCACAACAGAAAATCAAATATAATTTGAATATATATATATGTATATATATATATATATATATATATATGTAACAAGATGAAAAATTAAACCTTCATTGACATAAAATTCTCCTTCTCAAAAATAAAAAATATCATTCACAAGTGAAATTATGTAAATGTCAGTATTTTAAATTGTTGTAGCATAATTTAAAATGGAATAATTTTATGAAATGAATTGAAATCGGTTGAATAAAAGTTGACGAGTATCAGCTAGTCTACAAGCTTCTCACTTTGTGTATTTTTGATCGTTTAAATATGCGAAACTGAGAAATCGTATAAATCTCTTCTGTATATTGTAAGCAGCTGTGCTTCTGTCTAATCAATAAAATATATTGATTTCTTTGTATGAATGTAACTCCTAGTTTAGATATGAATTGAGTTACAAACTAAATTTGCAAGTATCTTTCTGTTCGAGGCAACAATCTGTTCTCAGTGCAAATGATTAGAAATCAAAATCTTCTAACGACCATTCACTTGTTGTGATTTTAGTTGGTTTTTGATACGTTAGTTGATTGAATACTAATCATATAGTTTGAGATTTTCATTCAAAATCAATGGTATGGTCTTTTTAACTAGAGTTGAACAAGGATGATTTCTTTTAGGATTTGAATTTATTCTGATTTATTTTTAGTAGATGGTCTGTACTTCTTTATTGGTAGGATTTACTAACATAAAAAGAAGCTATTTTTTTTCATATTGTATCAAGATGGCTATACTCCATAGAATTTATGTGAAAACAAGTAAATCAGTTGATTGATTGGTTTGATTTTTTCATCTGTAAAGCCAAGAGGAATAATAAACTTCAGAAAAATATGCTTTAAGAATAACTGAATCGTTACGTTATTTGTGAAGGAAATCAATCAGTGCTAAATTTCTGAATGCCTAGTTTTTTTTGAATAGTCGGGAATGATAAGCGTTGTGTTGCTTTTATCCTGAAAATTAGTATAAAATCTTGGCAACAACAATTTCAAACGAACTTATCTAATCCACTATATTTCTCTCGTCTCAGTAAACGACTTTTCATTAGCTGACCATAGTGGATTCGAGTTTTATTTTATTTCAGTATAAAAATACTGGATAGTAAAGTGGAAACAAGGTTATTTCTATATTCTAAGTTACTAAATGCTAAAAGAGTTCTAGCAGGTTCCTAGCCAATAATAGAACTGACGATAATTACTAAATCTTTTTACGCTAATAGCTGCATTTGCTTCGTGCTGGCGTTTTTCGTATAGTATTCTATACTACATATTATTATTCAGTAGTATATATATATTATCAATCGTTTTTGGACAGGTAGATCTTGTGTGTAAGGACTTCTGAAAATGAAAAACAAAAACGTTTTTGTATGGTGTTTTGATCCATTTTCTTGGCCACAATTGTGATCCTCTCCACTTTCTATTATCTAGTTTTTATTAGGTGTCTCATCGATCTATAATTTGTTTATTCTAAACCACAGGATTGTTTTTAGTGCATTGCTATTGAGTCGTTTCAATTAACTGACAATAATTTTTGCCTCAGTCTTTCGATATTCTTCAATTTATGGTAATTATTGTATTCTAACTATTATCAAACTATTCGAAGGATATAATTTCCTCCAAGGTGTGCCTGTGACAAGGTTATCAACTCCTGGTAACTTTAAAACTCGAAACTTATATTTTTTGCTTAATATTACTGGTTTCTTGGCAAATCCCACGCTTCAATTTTCAAATTTTATATTCTGGTTGGTGACTGGATTATTTACTTACCTACGCCTGTTACCCCAAGTGGAGCATTGGCTACCGACCAGCATTCTCAAGCCTACTCTGTCCTGGGCCCTGTTTTCCTGGTGACTGTATTAGAATCCTCTAAATGATTCCATGGTAATATCATTTAAAAATCTTTCTAAAAAAATCACCTATCCGGTGCATGTAATTTATGTAAAATTTAACTCGATAAATTTCAGCCATTTACTAGTTTAATAATAGATCAATTTTTTCCTTTTAATCAATACATACAAAAGTTCACTATTGGCCATCTACTTAACATTATCCCATACATCTGACATAGATACACTAAGTCCAACTGAGTTCAGTTCAAGAAGTAGAAGTTTATCAGTAGCATATTCCAAACATTTTTGATTAGCTGCTAAAGTCAAAATAAATAAATTGAAGTATCAGATAAACAAAGTACCAATAATAACACCAGTCTAGGTCATTTTCAGTGTCATTATAAACTCTTTTGGGCAACAAAAAAGGAAAAGTTTAAAAATCGTAAAACAAAGGTCATCTTAAACCAAAGTATTAACCCTAGACAATTTGAATGCACAACTACAAAGGGTAACCTATTTCAGCTAAGTGTTTGAGAATGGTAGAAGATGAGTTTTTGTTTTGTTGATGTTTATTTTTGAAGCCAATTCGGTCTATGATTCAGTCACCAAAACTTACAACTCATGATTACTCCTCTCTCTCTCTCTCTCTCTCTCTCTCTATGTGTGTGACCTGATACAGTCGTAATGTCTACATATTGTTTAAGATTTAATGAACATTTTAAAGCAGTAAATATGTAATCAAATTGTTAGGAATGTTTTATGTACTGATAAATCTCGTTTACTCATTAAATTATCGAATTATGTTATGTGAATTAATTTGTTGTATAAACCGATCATGAAGAACAGTTAATTATGAACATGATTTTAGTCATATAATCCACTTAGAAATCATTAAACCAATGATTTATTAATCCATAACTACAAACTACTTTTACGCCTATTTATAGTTGAGATCGAAAATTGACAACAATATAACATAGTAGCTATTAAGTTATAAGCTTTATTATTCTGTTTTGATTTTATAACTCAAATTATTTTCTTTAATATTCTTTCATTTTATGCATTCATAAAATATTGGTCATTTTATCAACGAAATTAGAATTGATGTCATTATTGTATTACAATGGAATACAGCAATTCAATTATCATTGAATAACTTATTCAATGAAACGGACAACAAACAATTTATATTTAAAAAGTCTACATGTTTAATTCTACCCATGATAGATCAATATAAACATGGGAAATGCAACTCAATTCAAAATAAATCACCAAAATCTACATTCATCAAAAATATTGATTGGAAACAAATGAATTGGTTACATAATGCATTGAAATTAGGCTTGACTATTTTACAAGTGTGTAATGGAAATAAATTCTGGACACGAATTCAATGTGTACAATCAATGAATTCAAGTGTCAATGAAAAACTACACCTTACTCTATACAATAATAATAATGGTAATCATAATAATAATAATAATAATAAAACTAACCAATCAATACAGAAAACAAATTCAAATAATGAATTTCTAAATAAAAGTTTATTATTATATGAAAAATTTGGATTAGGCAAATTGAAAATGTTCCCAATTACGACTGGATGTATAAGTAAGTTATGAGAGTGATTTTCTTAATGGTTAGTTAATTTCATGTATAAAAGAAACTTGTTTCATTTTTGGTTATGACATGTTAGATGAATGAGACTAGTTTCGTTTAAACACTCACTGTATTAGAAATTATTGACAATCTATAGACATTAATTGAAAAATATAGCATCTACATATAAAGGTTTTTAGTTAACATGTGAATAGTTTTCCAAGACTGCAGTTGTTTACTGGAATGCTATATATCAGTCAATCAAATATTCATCCTAGTAATAGGAGAGAACAAATTTACGATGTACAAATTGATTGCTTACGGGATATTTGCCATTTCAAGCAGACTTATCAATTTTAAGGACTAAAATACACAAATAAAAGATTTGTTTACATTAAATAAACATTATTTCGATCATAGGATACTTCAAAATTAAGTCACATGCTTTCAAACGAAAACAGTACTGATCTAAATATAATTTCAAAAAAAAAAGATATTTTTAATCTTGTTTTATTAACATTTAAGAACAAACCTAATTGAATTTTGAAGACACCTACAAACTGCATAAGAGAAAAGAGAAAAACTATAAATCTTTGGAGAGAAACTTCAAGTACAAGATTACTATGAAACAATATGCTAATTAAGATAGATACATTAACTTGACAATACCAATTCGGTAAAAAACTTTTTAAGCTGGGATGAAACTGCATTTCGCACAGGATGCAGGTATACTAAATAATACTGATCGACTGCAGTCTTAACTATCAATGTGAAAATTCAGTCTATTAAATTTCACATCATTGCACTTGAGAGTGACTGTATGGTCACAGTAGCTGACTGGAAGATACGATGGTGACTGAGGAGGATAGTACTCGGTACTATTCTTGAAATGAATAACAACTCCGGAATGCAAATGTATATAGCTGAAAAGTCTCAAACAGGACGAAACGCAAGTCCAGAATTCCATTTAGCAACTGTGTAGAAATTCGTACGCAAGTATATCAGTTCAGGTTGTCATTCCAAATTAACGAAATTCAATTCCCATAGTGGTAGATGTAGCAGAAGTATTAGCAGTAATGGACATGATTAGGATTCGAAGAAATTATTTGTGAAGAATAGTCCAGTGAAATACATTTTCATAGGAAGAAAAAAGACAAAGGTTATAAGGAATCCGGACGATCAGAATTTCAGAGAAAACTAAGAATTGATGCATCTGCGCCATTGCAAACGATTTTGATCAATTTTATTCATTGTCTTTAACCATCGGTTACATTTGTCTCGCGTACCCCAACTAGTTAGTCTACACCTGTTAACATGGCTCAGTCCACTGGTCAGTGACTTTAAGGATTTATGCCATGTATTGGTTCGGCCGCCCATAGGTTTCTTCCAGCCTACCCCTGCACCACAAAACATCTCTCGTCGGCTCAGTTGGTGGTTAGGCATATATAACACATGCACCAGCCACGTCAAATGACGAAGTTTCACTACTTCATCAATTGATTTGCCATCCTTAACTCGTACCCGTTTCCTAACACCAGCATTGCTTACTCCATGGTCCCAAGATGTACAAGCAATGCTTTGAAGACACCTATGATAGAATAGCAATCATCTGTCAATATCCTCTGCTCTAACAGGCCATGTTTCACACCCATCTATTCGGACGGAGCAAACTGCCGCACAGTAGACTCGTCACCTGGTCAGACGACACCTACGCCATAAGTGACATCAGTTTTTTAAAAGCAAATTGAGCCTTCTGTATCCGTGATGCAATTTCTTCAATCACCAGACCATCTGCACTGATGAGGCTCCCAAAATAAGTGAAGCCTTGTACGCGCTCATCTTCTTCTGTCCCTATCACTAATTTAGGTGCCTATGCTAGACAAACCTTAAGTAATATTTTATATTCCGACGAAGAGAATCGCATCGCATTGTTGTTTAGGTTAGTCAGAAGACTCTTAATTTTGTCAGCGTCTTCACCAAATAGAACTATGTCATCGGTATATTCTAAGTCACCAAGTGGATTTTCAAGTGAAAGTATAAATGCTAAAAATTCAGACAAAGGAAGTATAATTTATAAAAGCATATCACTGGCAAAGTTAAATAAGGATGGTGCAAGTAGACAATTTGACGAACACCATTTGAAGTAATGAATTCCGATAACATTTCATCATAAGATCTACCTCGACCAGTAGTGTTCTAGTCATCAGCTTGTTTAAGGTTATTAAACTTTTCAATGACAACCACCGTCGAAGAGATTCACGTACAACAGAGTCAAATGAAGCCTTAAGGTGATGAAAAACTAAAATTGAGAGACGTTTGAAGACGTGTCAATCATCCAGGACCTGACGATGTGTGAATATCTGGTGTAGCTCTAGCTAATTCGAACAGAATGAGCATAAGTCATTGTACCAGTAATTAAGTGTCACGCAAAGATGAAGTTTCAGATGGCCGAAGTGCTGTCAAGGAATACGAAACTGTTGCACGCCTGCATAACTCTACGTACTAGAACCTGACGATTTGTGAATATCTAGTCTATACATCCACGTCCAAGTCTGAAACCAGCCTGGATTCCTCGAGTCTGCTCTTCATGAGTTCTAGCTAGACGTCGGATTAATATCAAAGCTAACATTTTAAATACTATATTTGTTAAACTGATTCCTCTGTGACTTTTACAATACGACTTTTGTCCGCTTTTATCGACGCGCATAGTCAGTGATTGAAAAAATGAATGGGACTACCCAGAGCTCGTAGAATCTTCCAAAGATCTCGGTCAATCAATGCAGTGTTAACTGCATCACCGTCCTTACATATCTCAGGTTATAGCTTATCAGGACACGCCGCTCATCATCGCTTATATTTCCTATAGCTTTTATAAATTCATTATGAATTGGAGAAATTCATCATTTGGTCATTCAGGTTGACCGAGATCATGGGGTAAACGAAGTGTGTCTGAAGGCCTCTTGACTTGATCCCCAAAGTATTCTAGCCATCGACCAAATCTCCTGGATTGGAAATGACCAATAAGACCACACATTTCGAGGAAGTCTTACCAACAGTGAGATTCCTAACACTAGTTTCTTTGATAATTTAGAACAGTTGTCTACTGTTACCTAAACCGCAACGAGAGGCATAATGAAAAAAAGATGTTAGTCACACACTCAACTGTTTACAAGTAGTAAATACTGCAGTTCATTATCAGCTGAGATGATAAAAGCGACTTCAGTGGAGTACTCAAAGCAGAAACTTGATATATTTTAAAGGAATGGAGAGAGTATTTCACTATGATTAACAAATAATTTGATTTTACACGATCAGCATAACTAAGAATCAAATCGGAAGTATCGAGGACACATTGCTGCTTGATACGGAAGCCGAAAAGGAGAAAGCGGCAACTCGTCGGTTCGAAACCAAGTAAACAACTAAGCTCCACTGTCCATTTCCGTGCATAACGACTGTTGGTATTTTTGAGAGAGAGTCAGCAGACAGTGTTCTTGTAGATCGTAGTGTTTCGATTTAATCAGTAACAGAATTCATTTAGTTGTGATTCCGTAAATATGTTTCAACAAGCATTTTCGAAGTGGTAAAGAATACTCGTATTACGTGTGGGTGTTATTCAGTAGGCAATGTTTCGTGAAAATACATAGTAGAAATAGCTAACTGTATATCCTACATTTATATGTAACATCCACAGAGTCAGCTAATCCGAGACCTCAACCGTAAACTCAACGAACCACTGGACGAATGACGCACCAGCCAACCTACCACTGTGAGCATCAATCAGACGACCTACTTTGTTCATAATTTTAGGGCAGCCTGTTACGTGGCCAGCCGCAGGCAAGAGAAATTTGATTTAACCAAAGGCATTGAGACCGACAACCGGACAAAATTAATTAACATTCCCATAAAATCACCATTTGCAAATTAGTTGATCTACAACGAGAAAACGAGAAAATGTAATTTCCGCATTCAAAATTACGGATTTCTTTATAATTTTGCTGCACAATTACTGCCAGTTATTAAATACACCTAGGTTTATCAACATTCCTAACCTTATTATACTACTCGTAAATTTGTACTAAGTAGATTGGAGGTTGTTTAGAAAATTTCTCCACTTCTGTATAAAAAATTCTCGGTCTTATTTCTTTCATTCCCAATTGTTTGAATGTCATCTAAGAAGTCAGTCAACTAGTATATTCGATTGTCGTGCTGTATCAGTAAAACACTGAAATGTTCAACGTTAATTTCTGAACCATTGGCCGTTATTGTCTAAGGCTTTGTGTTTGGTGTAAAGTGGTGAGATTGTCATACATGTTTGTACATTTTATTATTCAACTATCAAACTAATACCTTGTTGATGAACACAAGTAGAATGGTTATTTCAGTAGTTTTCCTTTTTCCTTTTTCCATTAATTTAGCTAACTCTGGTTTATCTTACAGTGTATTGTTTATATGGATCCCTTATGAAATAGAACATTCCAATCATAAGAACAATACTAAGGTATTCTTCTATTCAGCAACATTGGATGCAAAAGGACGAGATGATTCCATTGATGCGGAACAATCAGTTAATCATCAAAGAGAAACTGAGCAAACATTAACCAGTGAATCGATTACAATTACAAAATCACTTTTACAACAACTGACACGAATTGTTGGAATGAATTGTTCAATCAATAAGAAGGCCAACAATAAACGTGGTAAATTTGTTTGAACTATTTACAGTTAGAATGATTTTTGAACGTTTTAAAATTGTCGATAAGTTTGTGGAGATTATTGCATGTCACTGATATCATGAACCGATCTTAGTTAGCTATCTACGGGTCTGGTTGTCTGCTTTCTTTGTTTATTAGAAACAGGATACAAAGTATCTTTCGCATGCAAAAGTCACACTTTTCCGCACGAAGCTACAGGCCATATTCAGCTACTCGTGAAAACAACAAGTTAAGCTTCCTTTCTAAGTCGATTCTGTCAACTCCCATGATTATGATATCCTCTACAAACGCTGCAGCACTAGGTATATCTTACACCATTGTGTTCGTTATTTGCTGGAATATGTAGTGTTGTCTTGACTCCGAACGGTATTCAGTTATTTCTAAATTGACTCTTATGTGTATTGATCGTAAGAAGATCCATGCATTCATCAGCTGCCGGGATTAGTAAATAAGCTTCTGACAAATCCAGCTTTACGAAAATGTTGGCAAAAAGATCTTCACACATGTGTAAGGTATACTGATGTGACTCTAGATCTTCGTTCAAACCGGTTGAATAATCCGCACGGAGGTGGACACGATCGTTGGATATCTTGACTATTACTAGTGGAGCAGCTCAATCCAAAAAATGTACTGGTCCAATTATCCCAATATTCTGAAGTCTTTCAATTTCTTGTTCAACTATTGAGAGGTCTGCGTATGACACAGGTCTTTTTGGTCTCAATACTTGCTTCGCTCTGCGTTGAATGTTGAGAGTAGCTCTCGATCTACTGCATTTTCTCGGGCCATCTCTACATGCTATTTTATGTCGTTTTAATATTATATCAGCCAAGTTTTTCTCGTCAACTTCTATGGCTTCGATATTGTTGCAGATCAAGTTGATGGGGCAGTCGGTCGGATCTGAATTCTCTATTCACTCGAGCCTTATAAAATCGAGAGGCGGATTATCTGATGGGGATATTACTCCTTTCTCAGTTATTTTTTTGACAGTAACTTCGCACTGTATCTCATTAACTATGATTGACATTTCGCTAGATCCAACATAGGCGCATTGTTGAGCTGGCCTGATTTTTGGTCTCCCCTTCTTTTCCCAAGTTCGTCTACTTTTAAGTATCATGTCAGAAGTCTTAATGACCATCATTCTGAAGAGAAACATACTATCTATGATGAACTGCGTTGCTACAGTTGAAAGTTATCGTTACTTAAGCTGTTCGTGGTTTAAATCTTTTGCAATATAGTTTTGGTTGTTGGCTTCGTCCTTGAGTTTTACAGTGACATTCGTTACTCTCTTATCTCGAACATATAGTACAACGATGGATTTTAAATAGTTAAAACCTTTTAAAATAAAAACTACCACACAGCAAGCATGGACATAGTGGCCTGCAACGAATTTTGCGATTTTTCTGTTTTCAATGGATTGAGTTGACGCCTTAGATTCGGTCACTGTTCCCTCAATTTCAGGTGAAGTGTTTGAACTTCTTAACATTCGAAGATCGCAAGTCAATTCGTGTGAATAATCCTGTGACAAGGTTCGAGCTTAGATTGAATGAACGGTCGGGCAATAAAATCGGATAACATTAGGCCAGAGAAAAATACGATCAAATAGAAATAGTGTTTGATCGTAGTAAAAAAGATGAGTCTCACAAAGATTCTATTCAGAAATCAGCCACGAATAAATCAGTCAGCCTATATGATTACGAAATGAGTTATTATGGATTTCACACATTCGAAGGTTTTATTTTAACTCAACATTTAAATGTCCTCTGCACAGTAAACCCAGATCACTATTCTTGCCTACTTTGTTCATTCTGTCATCAATGAATAGTGATTCGTAGTCAGGAATTTATTCCACTCTAAGTAAGACTATTAAAAAGTGAACAACTTATCCTTTTCATCATTATCTATTTCAATGTTTGATGAATTAAGTATATTGATTTAATTGTAGTTAAGATGACGGATGATTCCCATTAGGAATGGTATTCTCTGCATATACTTTTCGAGATTGTCAATAGTATTGATCAATAAATAATGGTTGGAACATTGAATAAATTAACAACCCTGTCGAAATTCCAATATGAACCATCACACAGAGCGAGAGTCAACCAGCTTAAGCATGATTAGAAGATCTTAGTTAACACTAAGATATGGTCGGTAAAACAGTGGTCACTATTGACTGATTGACCAGTATAAAAGTTGTCTGACAAAGTACTATATGTTTAATACAATTTTCAATAATTTCATATTAGAAACAAATCTTGAAATTCATTGACAAGAAACAACTGTAATTGTAATACTTGAACATTGTATGAGATTTAAATTTACGTTACTAGATATATTGAGGAGTTTATAATCACTGATAACATTAATTGTACTTGATCTAATATTCAATTGCTGTAGATATTTTACTCGAAACATGACTTAGTTGGAACGTATATTGAATAAAAGACGTTTCTGATAACATGTACCTAACTGAGTTAAACACATAATAAGACGCTGAGCTTTCATACGCGAGATCGAAGGTCCTAGGTTCACGGATGAGCAGCCGTGAGAAGTGTCACACTAAGACCAACCAGAAATCCGGCATTTTTTTCTGGTTTTCAATAGATAGCTAACTAAGATCGGTTCATGATATCAGTGACATGCAATAATATCCACAAACTTATCAACAATTTTAAAACGTTCAAAAATCATTCTAACTGAAAATAGTTCAAACAAATTTACCACGTTTATTGTTGGCCTTCTTATTGATTGAACAATTCATTGCAACAATTCGTGTCAATTGTTGTAAAAGTGATTTTGTAATTGTAATGGATTCACTGGTTAATGTTTGCTCAGTTTCTCTTTGATGATTAACTGATTGTTCTGCATCCATAGAATCATCTTGTTCTTTTGCATCCAATGTTGCTGAATAGAAGAATATCTTAGTATTGTTCTTATGATTGCAATGTTCTATTTCATAAGGGATCCATATAAACAATACACTGTAAGATAAACCAGAGTTAGCTAAATTAATGGAAAAAGGAAAAAGGAAAACTACTAGAATAACTATTCTACTTGTGTTCATCAACAAGGTATCAGTTTGATAGTTGAATAACAAAATGTACACGTATATATGACAATCTCACCACTTTACACCAAACACACAGCCTTAGACAAATGGATCAGACATTAACGTTGAACATTTCAGTGTTTTACTGATAGAGCACGACAATCGGATATACTAGTTGACCGACTTCTTAAATGACATTCAAACAATTGGGGATGAAAGAAATAAGACGGAGGATATTTTAAACAGAAGTGGAGAAATTTTCTAAACAACCTCCAATCTACTCAGTACGAATTTATGAGTAGTATAATAAGGTTAGGGATGTTGATAAACCTATTTGTATTTAATAACTGGCAGTAATTGTGTATCAAAATTATAAAGCAATCGGTAATTTTGAACGCGGAAATTATACCTTCTCGTTTTCTCGTTGTAGATCAACTAATTTGCAAATGGTGATTTTATGGGAATGTTAACTGATTTTGTCCGGTCATCGGTCTCAATGCTTTTGGTTAAATCAAATTTCTCTTGCCTGCGGCTGGCCACGTAACAGGCTGCCCTTAATTTCTAAACAAAGTTGCATTTCTGGTTGATGCTCACAGTGGGAGATTGGCTGGTGCGTCATTCGTCCAGTGGTTGGTTGAGTTTACGGTTGAGGTCTCAGATTAGTTGACTTTGTGGCTGTTACATTTAGATGTAGGATATACAGTTAGCTATTTCTACTATGTATTTTCACGAAACATTGCCTACTGAATAACACCCACATACAGTACAAGTATTCTTCACCTATTCAGAAATCCTTGTTGAAACATATTTACGGAATCACAACTAAATGAACTCTGTTACTGATTAACTCGAAACACTGCGATCTACAAGAACACTGTCTACTGACTCTCACCCTTTCAAAAATACCAACAGTCGTTATAAACGGAAATGGACAGTGGAGCTTAGTTGTTTACTTGGTTTCGAACCGACGAGTTGCCGCTTTCTCCCTTTCGGCATCCGTATCAAGCAGCAATGTGTCTTCGATACTTCTGGTTTGATTTTTAGTTATGCTGATCGTGTTAAATCAAATTATTTGTTAATCATAGTGAAATACTCTCTCCATTCCTTTAAAATATATCAAGTTTCTGCTTTGAGTACTCCACTGAAGTCGCTTTTATCATCTCAGCTGATAATGAACTGCAGTATTTACTATTTGTATATAGTAGACTGTAGAAAATTTGTTGCTCATATGGATTATTGTGGTCGTGTTTCGTTCCCTTATCTGAATATTTTGGTTGTGAATGTTTCATTGCTTTTCTGAACAATATCATCAGCACAAACTTCAGTGGGGTGTGAAGTATTCGAATTTCTCTATGTTCGACCTGTAGCTTGTTCTGCTAACCTCGATCTTGATTGTTTGCTGTTGACCTTAAAGCAGTCTTTGTTTTTTCCTTTGTTTTGATTGTATCCCCCTTTTTATCTGTTTCTTGACCCGCTGTTACTTATGATTTTCCTGATTGGTTGATAAACTGGGTCAATGTCGATGTGTTTGTTGATTGACCTGAGGGTCAAGCTTTAAAAAATTCTCTAGTGTTCTTTGTCCTCCCCCTTTCTAGTATTTCAACATTGTCCCAATCGAATTCGTGCCTGTAGTTCCGGTGTTTTGTCTTTTAGGTTTGTATTGGGACTGAGCCTAATTAAGCATTTCAGGGAATATTTAGTTGTGCTTTGAAATCTGCGAGTTATTTAAATTTCACCTCCGAGATTTCTATACTTTAATGAGTGAAGATTCAGTGAATTGGAGTGCTTTTCGTATGATTTGAACTTGAATCCTGAAACCGATTTGATGGCTCGATCGTGGATACTACCCGGTGTATTCTTGTTCTTTTGGAGTGAATGAAGAAACACTATAATTCCATACTCGAAATGGGTCCTAATAAAGCTGTTAAAGAGTAGGTGG